CGCCGCCGCTGTCCGCGCTGCCGTCGCCGCCGCCGGCGCGCCGCGGCAGCGGCTCGATGCTAACCTCCTCGGCCCAGTCGGACGTCTTGAACACGAACGTCTCCTCCTCGGCGCGGGGCTTGCTGCGCACCTTCTATAACTCGGGTTCGCTCTTTGAGAGTCGCAGCTTGCCGCCGACGTCCTCGCGTGTCTGCGCGAGGGAAAAAGAAGAGGAGTGGAGATACGTTGTTCTTAACACTGGAAGTAATGGAGGGCAGAACAAGGGGAAAGGAGGGTGTATCGAAGGGGGGGAAGGATTGAATCTGTCTACAATTTTTTGTTGGAGGTGAGGGGGAGGTCTGTCCTGTGGGGCACAGTAGAAATATAAATTACTTAGGAGGGAAATATTAATGCGAAGGGCTTCACGCTATGGAATGTGGCCTGTAAGGAAGGCCTCGACGCAGCCTGAGAGCCGGGAAGTATTAGCACGGGAGTTGGCTTCGAATGCCACTAGGGGATTGCAGGATTTGTCTAAGCAACTGCAGCGGCATGGCCGACTGGCGCAGGATTTGAGGATGTGACAGGCAGTGGTCGCGCGAAGGAATATGCTGCTCCCAAATATGGACCAGATTGTATCGCCTTTCCAGACAGCTCGACGCTCAAAGGTGACGTTGGTAGTTTTGCTAAACTGTCGGCTGGGGAGGGAGGGGAGGAGGAGGTCGAGGTGGGCGGGGCGCGCGAGAACGAGGGCCTCTAGAAGGAAGTAGAGCTGGTTGCCGACGCCGCCGTGGGTGATGGCGACTTGGACGGTGTTTGGACGGCGGGTGACCACGCACGTGTGGGGGATCGTGCCCGGGTGGTGGCCGGTAGGGGATAGGGCGGCGGTGAGGTTGCGGGGGCGGGGGGGTGTTGCATGGTGCGCGCGGGGGGAAAGGACGCTAGAGTAGAGCAGGCAGCAGACGACGAGGATGGAGAGCGTGCGGCGCACGATGGCGCGTCGCAGCTTAGTGAAACATCGAGGTCGAGGCCGCACGCATGTCCCACGGCGACGCACGCTGGTGCCAAGCCTGCGTCCAGCGTAGTAGCCTCGTGCAGAAACCGGCGCGCGACCTCGGTCTTGCCGCACGCGAAGTAGTATTAGCTGACGGCCATCCAGCTGACGGCGCTCTTCGGATCACGGTCCACCAGCCAGTGGGCTTCTTGCAGACGAAGAATAACGGCACCCGACTTGCGAAATTCGACGAGCTATGACGAGATGAGGGAAGGCCACCCCGGTGGCACTCCGCACAAGAAACGGCGGGGGGATGCTACTGCGGTGGCACTCCGCATGTGATACGACAGCACTGCACGGTTGACCCAGATTTCCGGCCTGCTGTACCTACTGTTACATACACACTACGTAAATACTAGGTAAATACTGTACTACGATTGCACCCCTAGTCCCCCGATCACACTGCGGGTGCCCTACGAACGCCTACAGTAGGGTTGCTAGGGACGTCCTTCACCGGGCGTACCTCATTTCCGTCGAGCACCTGGATTGCATCCATCGCCAGCCGGACCCCCGCGCGGTATCTGCGCCACCGTCACTTCCCACGACAACGTCCATGTTGGCAAACGCTAGGTCGCCACCCACTCTATCACCAGCTCGCCCTCCGCTCCGAACAGGTACACCCGGTCGAGCGCGTTCGTGCGCCCCGCCTTTGCCCTGAGTTTGAGCATGCCAAAGCAAGCAAAGTCCAGCCCCAACCACAGCCCCTCCGTCCCCAAAAACTCCTGGTGCTGCGGCGTTAGCAGCTCCCCGCGTCGCGTAGCCGCGCCCCCACGACATCCTGCCACTGACTTTGTCTCGAGTCGATGTCGCAGTCTCCCTCGCGCGCCGACTTGGAAATGTTTCACAATTTCCACCGGCCCGCTCGCCGGCGCCACGGACGAGGTGTACTCACCCTCCGCCGCACCGTGCTGCGCCGGTCATGCTCCTGGGCTCGTCCAGCTCTGTGCCCAATGCCCACCTCGTCGGTAGAGTGGCCTTCAGTGAGGGCCCCGCGCGCCGCAGCCCCCTTCACGGCGGCCACCTTCTTGCCCGTGCGCGAGTGGCCCACGGCCCGCGCGAGGCCGCGTGAGACGCGCAGTTGTACCAGCGTACTGGATTGAGGGAGAAGCGCTGCAGACGGCGAGGGGCGCGTCGCGACACTTGTGGTGCGCGGCGAAACGTGCCGAGGAAGGGAGCGGGTTTGGAGCGCCGATGATCCATGAAACAACCATGCCTTCACATGGTTCGGCAATGCTTTCGAATTGCTAGCACGGTTTTTGTGCCACGGGCCAATTCACGTAGCACCTGTTGAAGAAAGTGGGGCTATCCTTCCTTGCCCTTTTATTTATCGTGGCTACTCGCGCATTTATACTACTACCACTTCCATGTTTTGTAGACGAACTTGTGAAGCAGATGGGGAAGCGTTGCGTAATTATTTCGTAAGCGTTCAGGACAGTAATAATTATTTCTTGACGTCTGACCCACCTGGTAAATTATTTGGCACTCCCATCAGCACCTTTGGGCGATACAAAAAGCCCCAAGTTCAATTTTCCAACAGGTTTGTTCAGTTATGGTCTCACCATAATACTGTTTGCTGCAGTAGCGCCTTCCCCGCTCTCATGAAATAAGAAGTGGTCAGTTGTTCAAGTCCGGTGTTGTCCAAAACACGAAAGTTGAACAGTGATCTAATGCGGTGCTGAATGTCCAGCCGTTGTTGCGCTTGTGCTGCCACGGGGCACGTTTTCGTATCTTCGATGCAAGGGGAACCGCCATACTTACCACACCATGTGCAGCAATCACATACATTTACAAGACGCATTGAGATGAAGATGGCGGAACTACA